AAATTTAGCTTTGACATTCACATGGACAGCTCCATGACTCAAAATGTTGCAATGTCATCTAGCAAGCATCATAACAGCTACATCCCACCATATCATGATCAAGAGAATCAATTTGCTGCTGGATTCTCACAGAGTCATCACCAATCATTTAGAAATCATGGAATGCCTGATCCCTATCAGTACCAAACACACCAGGTACAAATGCAGTCACCTGGCATCCCTCCAATGCATATGATGCAGTCACCACAGATTCATCATTCAGTTCAGCACCATTACTCACAGCAGATTCAATCCCCACAAATACCACATCATCAGTCACCTCATATGCATGGATTGCAAAGCCCACATCAACATCATCAGCCTATTCAGAATCAGCATCATCAATCTCATCAGCAACATCCGCATCACCAATCTCCAGTGATGCACCCCATGTACAACAATATGCATCAGAATAATGTCAGATACAGTATGCAACAGCATCAACAACAGCAACAGCAGCAACAGCAACAGCAGCAACAGCAACCGCAGCAACAGCAGCAACAGCATCAGTACCCAATCATGCAGTCTCCTCCCCAACAACCTCAGGAGCACATTGACCCTGGCAAGCAGATGCAATTCCAACAGTTCTCTGATTCTCAGGGTGATGGTAAATCTTACAGAATGCCAGAACTGCCTTATATCAAATCTCCAGGTATGAACAGACGTGATCTCAAATACTTGGACAGTACAGATAACAAGGAGAATGCCACTGCTACTGGCTACAACAATGGTATGGAAGACAATAAACAAGACAATTTGTTCATCGATGAGAGTCTGGGAATAGCTCCATTGAATGGAGTCGATGAGACTTGCTTCACGGATGGTTTTGCAGGACCTCTCACCAGTTCAACACCTATGACAAATCAATTCAGACCTTCCACTTGCAGGACGAAAGAAGTCCCCCATTTTCAAGTGCCTCAGCATATGAATCCTCCAGTGATACCTGAGATTCAAACACCGGGGGAACCTGAGGACAAACTCAGTGTTATTATGGAATCTACCAGGGAGTATATTTCTAGTAGCTCTGGCAGCAGTGTGAGAACCGGTGGCTTTGGTTTTGCAACTCGTGAGGATCTTGGATCCATTCCTGAGCAGTCGACCCAAGAAATTGACACCACTGAAGCACTCCTGGGTAATCATAACACGTGTGATCAGTCATTGAGGGCTAAAATTCAAGTGGTTGACGCTCA